GAATGCATACGTCATATAGTCTGTTAGTAGAAGTAATAGCCTGATAGTAAATATAACCAGAAAACAGAAATAAAAACATAGTTTACACGTATAAAACTAAATGTGTCGTGTAGGTAGGTATATTATATGCATTTTCTACTTACTTATCATTGTAGTCTATTGTGTTTCTGATGGTTCCATTCTCTCGACCGAGACTTATATATGCATATATTTAAGATTTTATGAATGGAAGAAAGGTGGATCAGGAAAACAGCCCTACTGCGTTCACTTCAAAGATGGACGCCCTCTTGTCTTTGCTGCTCTTTATGATTCTTGGCAAAATTCTGAAGGTAAGAGTCCTGAAGAAAGATGAAGAATGAGATTTGCATTTTATCTCAGGAGCGACAATATATATATTGCTTACTTTTGGATAAAGATAGCAATATTCTTTTCTGCAGGTGAGATGCTTTATACATTCACTATTCTCACAACCTCGTCATCTTCATCCCTGCAGTGGCTGCATGGTAAGTGGTGCACTCCACTCCTGCGCGTTGACATGGCATAAAATTTTATTTCCTTGGCTTTGAAAACACTATGTATGTTCAAATGATATAAGAAATCAATAGCAACCCCTTATTATGATTGTAAGCCTATGACTTTAAGATAGTCTGCAAGTTGTCCTTGCATGAAATTTTATCAGCAAATATTGGAGGTTAATTCTCTTGCATATTATTCTATTTCTCCCTAGTGATTTTTTCCATGCCGTGTTCCCCAGTGGCGTTTTCCTGTGCTATCATCTTATTCTATATGTAACAAGTCCATTCTTCTTGGACATTTTGGTCAGACCCAAAAAAGAAAATCTACATTATTTTTCTCCTGTAATTACTTTGCTAGAAATTCGGATCTCTATCTCTGTTCTTAGAGAAGGAACTATAACTTTCATAAGTTATACAAGATCTTTGGAGGATTCTATTGATACATCTCTTTTGCAGCTTATTAGCTTATTTTGCTTTCTTGGTCTTGGAAAAATTCCGTGTACTTTGTGTGCTCTTTTTATGTTTTGTAAAATGAAACACTTTGCTTATCTAAAGAACACAGTAATACGAAGTCCAATGTACATTGAACCAACGGATGTCACTTAATCCTTTGGTTCTCATGAGTTCGAATTGCTTGGCAGTTGGCATATCTTTAGATATATTGATTTACTCATACCACTGTCGTAGGGAAATTTCATCTTTTGCTAGAGAATCATTACCTTAATGACTATGTCTTACATACGTTGACTATATTTTTATGTGCCTTTGTAGATAGAATGCCTGTTATTTTAGGTGACAAGTGTTCTGCTGATTCCTGGCTAAACAATTCTTCCAATTACAAGGCATTGCTCAAGCCATATGAGGAATCTGATTTGGTATGAACTTTTGCAATGAGAATTTGAGGCAATAAATGACTTTTCCATGTTTCTCTCTTTTTCTCTCTTTTCTCGGGATGAGAGTTGTAGTTGTTGTCTTTGTGAAAGGAAATTTTTTTCCTTTCTTGACATGAAAGCTATAAAATATAGTTATTTAATTATTACAACTGCTGCTGCTGCTATTGTTGGTATTCCAAATTCTTTAATCTGCAGGCTTGGTATCCAGTCACACCTGCAATGGGCAAGCCATCTTTTGATGGACCTGAGTGCATAAAAGAGGTGCGTCCTGTTAAATTTCGTTTGATATGGAGATTACTTGTTAGAATATGGAAAATAGAAGTAGAAATAGGGAAAAGGGGGAAGAGAGAGAAGAGAAAGAGGAGAGAAGAAGAACTCTAGAGCCAGAATCTGTAATTCTAGAAAAGAGAGAACAAGAATGAAAGAAATAGAGAGAAAAGAAGAAAGGAAGAGGGAGAGACTAGAACCAGAATCTAATTCTAGGGAAACAGAGGAGAAAGTTAGGAAACTGTATAATCATTCATTTATCCACGTCATTGATAGAATACATGTCTAATATTTACAGCCTAATACAGTAACTGCAAATAACTGCTCTTTTCTAAACATGTAAAACTGACATTAACTGACATTATCTTAAAATAACTGACATAGGACATTTGTAAAACTGACACTAACTTAAAATAACTGACATAAGACACTTATGATGGTTAATACAAAATCACATAATAGACATAAAACATAAAACATAATAATAGTGAAGGGTGCTAGTTCCTATCATTACTAGTTAGAGAAAACTCCTAGAATTGGATATCTCAAATATGGTTGATAGCATTGGATTCAAACCTTTAGTTTGGTAAACAAGGCACCTAGAATTGAATCCAAGCCTGCTATTGCATTAGTTTGCGTATTTTTTTTATTTGTAGTGCTTTTAATTTCTCCTTTGTAGACTGGAAAATAAAATGCATAGAATTGCCAAATATTGCGCTCTTTTGTTCCGTAAAGTAGAAATTTGCTGAGAGGCAAAGTTTTGGCCAGTAGTTGGATGCATACAGGTCATCCAGAAAGCCTTGATAACAATGTTCTTGTTGTTTAACTAAAATAAAATATGCTCCCCTTTTTCTTTGTGGAATTATTTATTGTCAATGATGTGTATGGGACCCATGTTATAGTTCGGAGTTAAGCTTAAGTAGTTAGGTAAGTTAAGTAGGGATTTGGATAGTGTTACAAGTTTGACTATTTTCTTTCTTCTTGTGTTAAACTAAAAAACATCCCATGCATTGTTGAAGGGGCGACATACAATTCTGCATAATTTAATTACAATCAATTATCCATATTTAAATATCAAAATCAACTTGACTATTATTTTATTACATTCCTGTTCTTAATATAAGAGCTAATTAAGAGTTGGATTTATTTATAAATATAATATATCAATCCATTTGTTTCCTAAATTTATAATTTCTTTCTTAAAGTATCTATTAATTGTAAAGAGTTTCCATCAAAGAGTACTTCCGATGCATATAATTAAAAAAGGTAATTTAGGAAAACCAACACATATTTATTGCAAATAACCAACTTAACTAATTTTCTTAATATCTCCAAATTAGTTATCAAATTATATTAAAAACTGGAGGTACCACCAGGGTGTATATAGTATTAATATGAAAAAATTTAGCACTATCTTCCAAAGCAATCACGGGAAGTAAAAATGTTAATTGTTACATACAAGTCAAAATTAACATCTAAAAGCCACGTAATTAGCATGTCACTTGTCATGCAAGGTACAAAAAAAAAAAGGAAGATGATGGAGACATAGAATAGAAGTATTATCATGTAAAATGGCATGACTTCAGAAGCTAATCTTAAGTTATATCTAAGACCATCATTTTTTTCTTCGGTAATGCTTGGGCAATTATTGTTGGGGGATTTATGTGTAGTCCCCCCCCCCCCCAAAAAACAAGAAAACGTAGTTGATTGATCATAATGATATGTAGGATGTTCAAACTTCTCATAGTCCCTTGTTTCTCAGATTCAGCTAAAGACAGAAAGGAATGCTTCGATTTCTAAGTTCTTCACAAAAAAAGGAGCTGAAGACTCAAAGCCAGAGCAGAGAGTACCAAGTGATGAACCTGTCAAAACTGAAAAGCTGCCAAAAACCCAGAAGGAGGAGCCTGAAACTGGGGAGGGAGATGATGACAAAAAAACCGGAGAATGTAACTATGATAAAGATGATGCAGCAAAGCACCACATCAAGCGTGATTATGAGGCTTTTAAGGCAGATTCAGAGCCAGCTTCTCATGAAACTGCTCAGGAGAGCACAAGTCCTGTGAAGAAAAAGGAAGTGAAGAATGCTGCGGATGATAAACAATCATCCTTATTTTCATACTTCGGAAAATGCTAATCTAGCTTGCTGTTGTGTTAAGATTTCTATGTTTGTTTTGTTTTATCAATGATGTGAATCATGAAATGTCGCTTTATTTTGGTTGGTGTAGGCACATTCAGGAACGCTTCTTACTATAATATTCCTCTAATCTTAATGTGGGGCCTCTAATCTGTGGTTAACATTCGAGATCTGACAGAACAGCTCCCCCCCCCCCCCTCGTGGGTTCAATGAATTTTCCAAGTTCTTTCTCATAATTTTGAAGTCTGTAAATGATGCATCCCTGAAAGTATTACTCCCAACGACAGGTAGATTATTATCTGTCGCAAACCGCCCTTGCTTGCGAGTAACTTTCCGTCAACTTCTTTAACTAATTACCCGGAAGTGTGTAAAGATTCGTTAAGATGCTAGCGCGCGCGCTAAGGCATGCGTACCAGAGCACAAATGCAATTATATGACAACGCAACAATTTATATGTAATTTGAAGTTAATTTGAAGTGCTTTATTCATATCTAATAAGAGGGTATTTGAATAGAAATCAAAGTATAGTTTTAAAAATACTTTTACGGTGTACGAAATAAATATATAGAAGAGTTTGTTTCGTTTTACAAAAAAGTGTTTCTGAAAAACACGCGTATAGATTATTATTTGCATATGTAAATTGATATTTGGGTTCATTAAAACACTTTTTGAAAGTCTAACCTAGTCAAATTAACTTGTGTATTATATTTATATGCATTTTTTTGGGTTAAAATGTAAATTTTTTTCACTCGAGAATGATCAGTACCTGGAAATTTTTTTAAGATACAAATTTGTTTCAAAGATTTAAAATTATAATAATATTACCTCTTATTATTAAAAAAAAAACTAATACGGATCATTAAAATAATAATGTTAACTGTTAAAATTTTTAACAGCAAAAGTAACATTGTTGTAATATTAAATTTTTAGAATAAATTTACACCTAAAAAAACTTTTAGGTGGCTAGTATTCTTAAGTGAAAATTTTTGCGATAAATTTGTACCTCACCCTTTTTTTTTTTCTCCATAAGTTTTAATGGCCCTGGAAAACGCACGGAGGGTAAAAATTAAAAGAAAAAGAAGATGATCAATATATAGATATTATAACATTTTACATGAGCGACAGCAGTTAAAATGAAATTTCTGGGTTTCTCCTCTTTTTTCTTCCTCCATAATGAACCCTTTCTTGTGATCAACAAAGGGGAAAGAGCTGGGGACGCAGTAATGGCAGATACCTACAATATACCTCAATGAACTGTCCCTTTGGAGCAATCTCCATTATCATCTTCTTCAACATCCTCAGAGGCCCCATGACCCCCCACTGAACCACCGGCCGTGATCCAAGGCAGAACCCCCGCCGTCGATTCCCCAGCCGTATAGTGCAGCCTCGCCGTCGCCGGAGCCGCCTCCGAGGAAGACACCACCCAGCCAACAACGCAGAGCTTGAAATCATTGATATGGCTCTACTGCCTCTCTTAAGCATATTTGATATGATTTAGCCGATACAGAATCGTGGGTAAGTAATGTATATATAACGTGAAAAGGATAGTTCTGTTGATAATGATGATGAAGATCATAATGGAAGCAATTATAACAATCGTAATGCTTTAGGAATAATCCTGGTGTGCAAAATATTAAAGTAAGGCCCTCAAAGAAACTCTTATTTTTCTCTACTGGTATAGGGCTATGGTAGTCATCATTGTGAAGAGTAGGCTCAAGGTCTTTTTAAATCGTTTTCGAGCTAAAAAGAGGTTCGATCGCAGATTGTATATGCCTCAGTCTCTATTATTTTAACACTTACTGTGCATTGTTATCATCGATATCATATCAATAATATTACTTTCAGTTATAATTATAAGATCTCATTTATATACAAACAAGATCTTATATTTTAAATATAAAACCCCAATCCACTTTGTATCTCATATTTACTCAATTTTTTTCCAAAATAGTCTTTCTACTAATTATAGTTCTAGTCAATACACTTGATTAGTAAAGATATTTTAGGAAAGGCAATACCTATTTAGGACAAATAACTAACTCAACTTACTTCTTTAATCTCCTCAAATTAATCAACTGGTTCTTATAATTAGGATCAGAGGTAGTAATTAGTATCGGAAGTAGTATATTAGTCTTATTTCAGAAGCTGGTTGATGGTTCTTTATGAACATCGGTTTTGGCTAGCTTTATACATGCAACAAACTTTATTCTCCTAAATCAAGCTGGTTACATGAATCGCACAATAATACTATATACTGTTAATGACCAAATCTTTGATAAATTTTTAAACAAGCGATTTACGTTAACCTTATAAGAGTTATAAAAATAATTTGGATAAATTAAGAAATGTAAATAAATTACTTAATTTTATTAAATATGACATAACCTTTATAAAATGCTCATATGTAACATTAAATTATATATTAATTTATAATGTAAATAAATTAATTTAAAAAATAATAAATATAAAAAATAAAATAAATTAAAATTTTATATAAAGAATCAAAATTAATTTTTTAATCAACTCGTATATGCCAGTATCTTAAAGCAAAACATCATTGACTACTATTACATCACTGTAGATTTTGTTGACTTAGGTGCTGTTAAAATTTTTGTATAGATTCTTCAGCCAAGTAGGTTGAGCCTAGGTAGCTACAACTAATAATTGTCATTCCAAATTTTAAATGCAGATTATTTTTTAATCAATGAATAAATAAATTAACGTTGCTTGCATTCTAGAAGAAGCCACTTGAGGATCTTTACTTTCTTTTAAAAAGTGATGATGCCAGTGACGGTTTAAAAAATATATAGGTGTAAGTTCATGTGATATATGATAGTGCTTTTGAGTTATAATAATTAAAATACAGATACTAATCATATGACATGACTTATAGACTATAATTATGGATTGGCCTAGACGATATGATATGTATTTAATGGTTCGTTGTCTAAAAATCTTATACTGAGAGAAGTTTTTTTTTTTTTTTTTGTACATATTGAGATTTTTTTTTTGGTACATAAATTTTAGGAAAAGGGTTGGGCTCATCCATGATCCAAGAACAGGACAGGATAAGGCATCTAACACTTGATCCACTGAGATTTGTCCCTACAGGTACAAAAACATGACAAGCAAACCTTTTTTTTTCTAGTTCAAGAGGTGGGAATTTCCCAACTTCACTATACTGTGGTGATGCATTTCCCAGAGCTACGATTAGAGTCATAACAAAATGACACTTCTTAAAATCGAACCCCTTCTTTTTAGTAAGAGAGTCTGACCCTTTCACCAGCTGAACCAACAGACGAGGAGTCATTGAGGGAATTAATTCAATTAAAAGGTGTATACTTATTAGTTTATCATGGTTGGGCCATATTTCAATCTTGTTTTTTTTTTGGTAGAACTGAGCCAGATTTCTATCTTGAGATGTTCCATTTCGGGTGAACTGGAGCCCAACTTAGGTGGAGCCCGATTTCAGGCATGTTTAAACATTGTTTTTTTTTTTTTCCCCCTCTCCTCTGAAGGCCTTTTGTTTTTGGTGAAAAGTTCTATCGATCAATTTTCCGCCTAAGCGGATCAAGGGGTACTGATTCCGACCCTCCGTCGGGAGCACCAAAAATATTGCAAATTTTTGGCGATAAAGAGAAAGAAAAGCCGAAACCCAGAAGCGAAAGTGCAAAACAAGAGGGAAACTGAGGGGAAAAAATAACATGAGAAACCAATATTCAAATATCTTTTGAGTGGGGAATTAGTTTCAATGCTTATCGTAATGATGAGATTTGTACTTGTTCAAATATAATTTCAACAGTCCAAACACAGAATTTTCAATTAATAATTTTCAAATTTAAAAAAATTGAAAAATAGATAGTTAAGAGAGTATTTTTATTTTAAATTTTGTACACATTAAAATAACTTTTTTAAAAAATAGAAGTAAAAAAATATAAAATTAAACCTAAATTATCCAAATTAAATATAGATTGCGGGTGCTGGCCAAAAAAAAAAAAAAGACCGCATGTGGTACAGATGACTTCTTGGTACTCTTCAGTCCCCTTAGTACTGAAACTTATTTTCCAAAAGAGATATCACATTTAATAATGAACAGTATTTTAAATAAAATTGTCTCTAAAAAAGAGAAAAAAAATGCCCGTGGGAACCAAAAAAAAAAAGAGTAAAAGAAAAGAGAAGGACTTGAACATGGGGACCAGGAAAGAAAAGAGTGAGCAATATACATTGAATGGTGGCTGTGGAGATATATAGATATACACGAGGACAAAATAAAAGTGGAGACTCAAACTAAGAATCCCGCATGTGTATTATGAAAACAAATACACTATATACAGGTCCTGTTTATTATCACGATTATAAAATTTTTTTTATATTTACTTTATATTCTGTAAATTATTTTTTTTTTTTTGTAAGAAAATTTTAGGAAGGGGTTTGGGCTCAACCCAATCCAAGGGCAGGGCAACTAACCCCGCTCCACGGGCCCACGGACCAGGTAGGAGAGTACACATGCTTCACAAGGCTGCAAAGATGCCTCCCCAAGCGCCGCGATGGAGGCACAACAAAGTGCCACTCCCAAGAATCGAACCCGTGCCAAAGCGGACAACCAGGCACTAAGTTCAACCCCCTCGCCACTGAACCCACGGACGATGGGTTGTAAATTATAATTAAAAAAAACTATTTAAAATCTATTCCAAACGGCCCATAATGATCTAATATCAGCCCCGCGGGGTCGCAGTGTGAAGACGTGTTAGCTGGCTATCCAGAGCAGCGAGGATGGGCCAGCCTGATTCTCACGCCAATGGGCAGAATTAGTTAGTGAGTCAGTGGCCCAAAAAACAAGCTCTGCAAAAAGGTCCTTTGTCCTTTTTTCAATCGCCCAATGAAGTGGTTTGTCTTACAAATTACAGTACATGTATGTTTGTGTGTAAATATGTATGTATATTAAGTACCTCATAGAATAATAAGTGAATAAGTACCTCATGAGAGGGCCTTCATGATATACATATTGACTATAACAGTGTTGCCACTATCAGTTTCAACCAGGACAAGGCCATATCATGGTGCCAAATTGCAGGTTCCACTTTGCTTTAGCTGCTTCAAGCATAAAGCTTGTTGCTTCTGTAATATCCAAACAGAAGTAGGAAATGAATGCTGGTTCCTAGAAAACCATACCAAATTAAACCCCTCTAATTAGGGAAGCACTTGAATGGCTAATAATTGATAGAAGCTTAGTTGGAGTGAAGATAATACTCCTCCGATCCTTAATATAAGACCTATTTAACTAATTTAATTAGATTGAGGAAGTTAGAAAAGTTAGTTAATTATAAAAAATATGAAATGTTTTTCCTAAAATACTATAATTATCTTTCTTAATATTCTCATCCATCTCTTCCTTTTTTACTTGATTATACTTGAGGGAGTTTTAATAAGAGTAATTTAGAAAAAAAAACTTATAAATATGAGAAATAGGTCTTATATTTACGACTAAAATTAATTTAATAATTAGATTTTATATTAAGAATTAGAGGAGTATAAAAATAAGTGTGACTGTGAAGGTGAGGTTTATTTATGCAATTTCTAATGGATTTGCTTCGTTCAGACAATAGACAGAGATACAGACACAGACATCAGAGAGAGCATAATTGTTCTGCTTTAATTGATATCTCAAAGGGACTCTAAAGGGGTGTTTGGATAGAAACCAAACTATGGTTTCAAAAGTGATTTTACGATTTACGAGATAAATATGTAGAGAAATTTATCTCGATTTGTGAAAAAATATTTCTGAAAAGTACTTTTTAGGATATCCAAACACCTCCTAATTTGTATACAAGCCTCAAACCAAAAGTCCAAAAGCACTTTTGCGTTCATTGGAAAGAAGGCTGTGGGGGGCGGGCCGGGCCAAGCCATTCGGCTCTTCTTTTATTTACGCAGCTTGCGGAAAGCATTCTCTCCGGTCTCCAGATATAAGAAGGTCCAAATGCAGAGGGGAAAACAAAAATTTTAACAAATCTTATTTTATATATAAGACCCACATATGAAACATTTTTTAACATTTTTTGTGAGAATTATTAACTTTCAGTGAAAGCCCATTTTCTACTAAAAAAAAAGTTAAAATACAAATTTGTTCTAAAAGTTTTTACTTGAAAGCATTAGATATCTAAAAAAAATTTGAGAGCAAATTTTTCCTTAAAAGTTTAAAATTACAATAATTTTGCCTCTTATCGTTAAAAAACTAACGATAACCATTAAAATAGTGACACTGACCGCTAATATTTTTAATAGTATAGAACAAAATCTTTGCAATTTTAAAACTTTGAGATAAATTTGTACCCAAAAAAAAAACTCGGGTACCAATCACTAACAAAAAAATTTTGGACAAATTTACACCTTGACCTTGTTACGAATGGTTTCACATATTTTTAAACCTCTCATTTTACAACTAACTTGACATGTTAAGTGAAAAAAATTATTAA